AAAAAAAAAAAAAGAAAAAAGAAGAAGAAGAAGAAACACAGACAGAGAGAGAGAGAGAGAGAGAGAGAGAGAGAGAGAGAGAGAGAGAGAGAGAGAGAGAGAGAGAGAGAGAGAGAGAGAGAGATGATTCCTTCACACAACGGAGTGTCTAATCTGCCACGTCTAGCTTGTAGTTCCTCCGTAGAGCTCGACCAGCCGAAACAGACGAAAGAAAAGATGCACACGTTATCTTGTTGTTTCTTCGAATGCGGAATCATGGTACACGCGCACTGCCGTCTCTGTCATCTCTTCCAACCCGCGTGGATTCGATTCGAGAACATGAAACCGTCTTTCCGTAGGTGACGGAAGATATCACCCCCCCCCTGAACTGACTTTTCAAAGCTCGTCTACTGTACTCCACGACGAAGAGGATGCCAAACTCAAATGATGATAACGTTTTCGTGAAGCTCTTGACGACGCGGTTCCAACGCCTCTCGCCATCGTCGAAACCGCCACACTCTCCTCTGCTATGGAGCATTTGAGCTTTGAAAATCGGTCCACGGTAGGTGTCACAATCCATGCATACTCACCCGCGATATCTGCCTTCGGCGGGAAAAAAGTGACGACATAACCTAACTGGAACAGAACACCACCAAGTGGCACAATTTCGTCTGTTTCTTCTTGGGGACACACACGTACGCTACGTAGGCGGCCAAGAAAGACTGGGAAGCAAACTCTGCCCTGCGCTTGCGAGATTCTGATGGAGGGGAGGGACGTCGGTGGTGGGAAGGGGGGACCGGGGACGATGGCGAAGAACGAGAATCGGAAGACGTGCCGCAATCTGAGGGGGCTCTGCGGAGCGTGGGAGTTCGACGCGAAGAGGGGCGCGGCAAGCTGGCTGTCGTCCCGGCGTCGTCGTTGACGGTTTCTGAGGTGGGACCAATAATATTTTTTGTAAGAGACGTTCGCATTTCGTAGGACTGTATAGTAGGCGTCCCTTTTTTAATCCGGTAGGATAGTGCCGATTGCCGGGATAGTGCCGGTGGTTTCAACGGGCGCACACTGAATTACCAAGTCATTATGTACTTTGAATAGCGCCAAGTGTCCGGTATGCTATGCTGCCGGTGTGAACTTTCTTGGCAAATGCCGCCACAAAACAGGGACGTCCACTGCTGTATCGCAGATTCGTACGACATGTGGTTCTTGTTGGTTCGTTGGAGGGTCGCCGGGCGCGTACGAGTCGAAACACGCCAGGTTTTTCCACCCGTAGCGGGCTGGCTGGCTGCCTTTTATTTTGATCTTGCGTTACCTCTTGATGACGGTGTTCTCTCACCAGCCAGCCCCCGATACTGAAGGGACCGTGGTGACGTTTTCATGCGCGAGAGTGCCCGCGTTTTTTTTCCCGCTATGTAGTCATGGCTCCGGTTATAACAGGGTACCTTACAAGATGGGGCTCCGAAAGCGGCGGAACCGGTTGTCACGGACTCGACACGGGATAATGTATGGTTAGGTACCCTCTTATTCCGGTATATGAGGGGTTTCCGATATGAGAGGGTCGAGGGCCTTTGTCACAGCACCATCTGATATCGGAGTCACGACTGGTTAAGACTGGCGTCTTTTCATTGGTCAGCCGGTTAGCTCGGTCGATGCTATTTCAAGACGGGCACCCTCCTGTCTTGGTACGTCTCCCCATGTATTGCTGCGTCTCCCCGTTCCTCTTCAGCCTGCACCCCTAGTCACGAAAACGCTCCACGCAAGGCGTACGAAAACGCATACATCCGTCCCTCTGTCTAGCGGCAAATCAGGATACATACAATTGTAGCACGCGTGCGTTGACGACAACGCATGCACCCGTCCCTCTGTGTGACGGCAGAATCAGGATACATAGCACGCGCGCGTTTCGGAAAATTCCTCGTTTATCTCTACGCGCTTAACGCCTCTGCTGCCCTTTTCGCACGAAAACGCCTCTCTATTAGGCATGGGGAGGGAGGCGAAGAACTCGGAGGAAGAGGAAGCGGAGGAGGAGGGCGGTGAGCGGCTGGGGAACGCAGTTCGGCCTGCTCCTCAGGAGATCTTGGAAGCAGGCCACCCGTGACAAGTTCGCCGCTGTGGCAAGGCGAGTTCAGTGTTGTGGTACTCTACGGCAGGTTCGGAATTTTGCTCGAATTGCTCGAGGAATAACAAGAGAATAGAACCACCAGGTACGATAGGTGACACAAGGCTACGACCGAATTGCAACAATAGTTCAGATTTTTCATGGTGTCGATGTCCCTCGCGTAGATTGCGCCATGTACACGAATGACGTCCATGATTGTTGTCGAGGTTTGGTGCGGTAGTGTGTTGGATGTGGTGGATGTGGTGGATAAGACTTGACATTGTTTAGTCATCATGAAAGCCTGGACTATATTATCTGTGGATAGAGATGAGTTTAGTATTGTGTTTGTAAGGATAGCGTGAGAAACAAATCGGGAATGGATCATTTTCTGTCGATTTTTCGCCGTTGTTCGCAGTTCCAACGTACCCTACGGCCTCCTCACCATCCTCCCTCGGCCCTTGAAGGGCCCTCCGATCCGAAAAGACAACTACAAACGAATCCATCCCTACACAGAAAAGAAGCGAAAAGCAGCGTCTGCTCAGTGGTTACCTCCCAACATCCATCCGTACCGCTCCCGAGCTGACCCACGGTAAATCAATATCCCACCTTGTAGATGGGCTCTACTCAGGTCCTTCGCACGGTCGGTGTAAATATTCATGGGGTCTTGGTGCTTTGCCGGGGATCCCCAAATGGGATCTTCAGGTTTGCGTGTGTGTATAATCTGTCTGGGAACAATAACAAAGCATGCATGTGTCTGTCGTCCACATCCTTGTCCTTAGGGTGGCCATGGGTTTCGGCCTGGGAGGCATGTTCGGGTCGATATTCTGGAAGCTCGGCCTGTCGGAGAGCTCCATCTCCGGCCGGATCTCGCTGTACGTGAACGTGGCCATGAACGTGGCCATGCTCGGCTGCATCCGCGCGCTGCAGACCCTGGCGGTGGAGACCAGAGTCATCAATCTCGAGAGGATGGACGAGGTGAAGGGGAAGGATGAATGTCGATCTGCTCTTCCGGCATCGATTTTGGTGATTTTCTGAATGGGCAAGAGATTAATCTCTCCCCGCCATTCTGGTATGGGCACATTAGGATGCTCTCCCCTCCCCCCCTTGTTTTCGCTAGTCACCACGGGGTGTCAATCTGCTCTTCCGGCATCGATTTTGGTGATTTTCTGAGTGAGAAAGGAGCTTGTCCACGCCGTTTGGGTGTGGGCACGTGAGGATGATGCCCCTTCGAGGCCAACGGCCTAACGGCTACGGCATTCACGGCACCCCCACCCCCCCTCATTTTCGCTAACTACCACAGGGAACTGTCACTTTTTTCTCTTGCTCTTGCTCTTTGTGCGTGCTTGCTCCTTTCGCCGCACCCCAAGGGGTACAGCGCCTCTGCGTACTTGGCGTCCAAGATTTTGGCCGAGATGCCGACGGACGCGGTTTTCCCTCTCATCTTCGGGACCGTGTGAGTTGCCATTGTCGTTGTGTGTGTGTGTGTTTTATTCTTGGCATCGACCACGCTAATCGGCTGACCAATGAAAAGACGTGGATGCGGTTGGAAACAGAAAATGCTTTGAAAGGCCATGATCTGGGACCCCGCGAGAGGGTGCTGTGTGTGTGTCTGAGAAAGAGAGAATGAGAGAGAGAGAGAGAGAGAGAGAGAGAGAGAGAGAGAGAGAGAGAGAGAGAGAGAGAGAGAGAGAGAGAGAGAGAGAGAGAGAGAGAGAGAGAGAGAGAGGGAGAGAGAGAGAGAGAGAGAGAGAGAGAGAGAGAGAGAGAGAGAGAGAGAGAGAATGAAAGAGAGAGAGAGAGAGGGAGAGAGTGAGGACACTTCGTATCATGGTTATCTAGTCACAAAGCAAAAGCATGCCCCTGAATAATCTCAGAAGGCGTGCTATTGTGCTGATTACCATCTCGCTTGTGCGATACGAACAGTGGCTGTCTCCCACGCCCACCAGAGAGGGACCCGACAGAGAGAGAACGCACAACAAGGTCGCGCTTCTTTCGAAAACTCCGTGTGCGCTATTTTTAAGAGGAAACCGCTATGTGCACTCAGACTCGCCTCTAGTGTCTGTGTTTATGCAGGCTTCTTTTCGACAGTTTTTGCATGCGTGTGCTAAATTTAAAGAAAAAACCGCGATGTGCACTCAGAATCGCCCCTATCTGCACATTGATGTGCGTGAGTGCGTGTGCTCCAGATTTCCGAAACCTACTCTAGGATTAGTATAACAATAATTAACCTGATTACCGAAAGCACCTGGAGAAGCTCGCGTGCAGCGATGACGTTGAGTTTCGACCCGATCCGGCGTTTTGGTGTCGAGTTTTTTCGCGGAAGGATAACTTTGACTGCTGCTACTGTGTTGTCCTTGCCACTGCCAATAGTATCGAGACATCAAGATAGATGTCACAATCAAGCTCGTTGTCGTCGTGCCATTACCAATGGCGCTCCCACGCAGCTGTAGAGGCAGATATCGGCTTAGCCTACCCGTAGGATAGGACGGAATAAAGAGACGTTTCTCAAACCGTCGGAGAGGAGTTTCTGAAACCGTCACTGAGGCGTTTCTGAAACCGTCGAAGAAGTGTTTCTGAAACCGTCATCCCGCATCCTTTCCGTTCTCAACTTGCGGGGTGCCTTGCATGATTTTTTTGGCAACAGAGTGTACTTCATGGCCGGGCTAAACAGTCCGTTGGGCGGAGGCCTCAAGCTCACCAGATATCTGGCGACGCTGCTTTTGCAAGCTCACGGTGAGAACGCGTCGTGTCTGCATGGGAGGGGGCGTACTCATGTTTGTGCATGCCTTTCGACCATTGGCCTCGCGTCCTCGAGAGGACGGAGCGTTGTTGCCACGGGACGAATCACCGATGACCAATATATTCTGGACGCCTGTGTACATTGTTGTCACGCAGGAGGAACGACAAATACAGTAATTCCCGTCTTTTTATTATTTTGTGGTAATGTGTTCATTCATGTCAAAACACCCAAGTCAACTTACGGTGCACGCGGCCAATTTCACGTGAAGACGTGCCCCCTTCCCCCCCCCCCGTGACATCACACTGTGTCTCCCCCCACCCCTTGCTGCGGCCGGTGATTGCTCACCGTGCGTGTGTAATGGCAGCTTCATCAGCTGTGGGCCTGATGGTGGGGTGCCTGTCGCCTAGCATGGAGGCGGCCAACCTCCTCGGCCCGGCGGTCATGGTCATCTCTCTCATGTTGTCAGGGGTGAGCTCAGCGGGAGGTCTAATTATGTTGTGCTACGCATATATGTGTATGTGTATGTCCTCCCCGAAACGAAGAAAAATTTAAACTACAGTTTTGGGAGGACAACACACACGCCCGTTATTAGCGCGGCCAATTCTAGTAAGCACACACACATACACACACACAACGCCCCACGGGGTTCCTGGTCTTAAGAAACATTAACATTTTCTGTTTCCAGCCGCGCGGAGGCTGACGTATTTTCATTGGTCAGCCGGTTGGTGCGGTCGATGCCGACGGTAGAAACACGTGCACACGCACGCACACATGGAAATTCGCTACCATATTCATCCTCCGCGCGATCAGCTTGCATTTGTGGATGCTGATGGAACTGCTGTGATGACAACCGCCTTCTCTTCTCTCACGCCACGACAGCTCTAACCGAGAGCCTTGGAGCCCAGTGTTAACGGTCCCCTCGGTGCCGGCTCATTTTTCGAACCATCAACTAAGCCTTGTGTAGTGGCCTCACGTTGGCCGCGAGTGAATTGCACACAATGTTTTTGCTGTCAACGCCTCACTACCTTCACCCCTCGAGGCGCACGCGCGGGGGGGTGTTTCCAGCAGTTTGGTTCTGCGGAGCCCCTCTGCCGTCGGTTCTGTAGTAGCATGCCAAGAATTTCGATGGGTCTTGCTGGAAGCGGGTGCTGATGCAACACCAACTTGGTATGGCGATGTAGACTCTGGGGGCATGGTGCAAACCTTGATTTCTGTGGTAGTGGGGTAGCTGCTGCAGGTATCGAGACTAGTTCTGACACGTATATTAGATGTGCGCCTTGCTGATATGGCGTGCTGATTGATGGCAGGTGCACGACAATATTCCCCCTTACCTGGCCAAGCTCAAGACCTTCTCCACCGTCAACTGGGGGGTGCAAGGGATTGTGAGTGATGAAAAGATGTCGAAGATGATGGCAGTATGATCTCCTCCATGTCAGAGAGAGAGAGAGAGAGACGGAGAGAGAGAGAGAGAGAGAGAGAGAGAGAGAGATGAAACGGGCGGAAGTTGAAGCCGTCTTTTGTCCGAGAGTCAGGGGAGCGGGCGAAGAGAGGACGTTTTCGGTGATGCTTGGCTCGCGGCTTGCGTTCTTGTGTTGCCTTCTTGCCCAGTATTGGTCACGCTCATCCGCTAAATAGGTTGCGGATGGGGCATAGAGGACGTCGAATTGGTATATCTTATACAGATTTTGGATATGATAGTGCCACTAACTTGTGTTTTGGGATGCATGCGCCTTGTGTTTGTCCTCCCAAGGGAACAAGCGAGATAACGAGCATCGCTCTTTGGACACACATCGCCAGATTTATCGATTTCACTGTTTTTGCACCCTGCAAGATGACTTTGGCCGATTCTAGTTTAAGTCAACAACGTGGTTGGTTTTCTTCATAAAATCCTTGTTTTGTTGCGATGTGCAGCGACCGAGATCTATGCATACGCTTCACGTTGTGTTGCTGACACTAATCCTTGCTTTTGCTGCAATAATCAATGTGTAGCGACGGACATCTTTGCCCAGAAGACCGATATCTTCCCCTGGTTTACCCCTCACGTTGTTTTTGTTGCCGATTCCAATCTAAATCAAATACGTGTGGTTGGTGCTATGAACCATCTACTTGTACATGTAGGTGACGAACGAGATGAGAGATATCAAGTTCATCCCGGACGGAAAAGTCCTCCTCAACGGCTGGAAGCTGGGCACCAAGAAACAGGTGCCGTTTTTTTTTCTCGAGTCCACGGTGTGAATGTCACCTCAGACTGTCTCTCTCGTAGATGGTGACGTCAAACGACCTGTCGGAGATCTAACTTCGGGGTGTCGCTACAGATAAGAGTCAGTGGACAGTGGACGCTGAACAAACAGTTACCTACACGGTTAAGTTGCCACACTGTTAGTCATTAGTATTTACTTTCTTCTGTATACCGCTTCGTCATCTTGCGTAATGCCTCCCTCCACCGGTAAGACCGAGTCTCCCCTCGCCAACCGGCTGCCACCTACCTCCATGCCATGAGGCGATCCGTCACCGTTGGGGCTGCCCACGTAATCTCTCCCACGTTTGGAGCGCCATATGGCTGCTACGCTTGCTTAAGTTTCAGCCTTCATCCCCCCAAGCTACGGTTGGTTGGTTGGGTAGTTAACAAGAACGAGTGATTTTACACGACCATGTCATGACTTTTTGGTTTCGAAAAAACGTTTCACCAGGTGGATGGGGTTGCTCGATATGGGTGGGTGGGTCGTCCTGTCTGTGTCGTCTTCGGTAGGTATGCCCAGTTGCGCGCCCCCCTTCCGCATGATTGACCCATCTTTTTGCTGCAGGACGTTGTTAGAAAGCATAATCTCACAGAAAGACTGCCCGTTCGAGATATAACGACAGTCGAAAGGGATGCAGGATTTTTGCTACAGGACAGATCCTTTTCGAGCAAAGAAGCTCAGCTTTTTCGTCATAATCCATGGTCGGTCGTTTTTCGCTGTCGGCAGGTGATACCGGGGGAGGATGTGATGGGCAAGATGGGCTTCGAGGGGGAAGGGCTCGGCAAGCCCCTCAAACGATTGGTTCAGCTGTCCTTCGGCTGCCACTTGGTTACTCTTGCCACCCTCATGGCGGGCGTTCCAAGGTAAGAAAACGGCAGTCACATTTATTTTCTTGGGTGATATCTACGGAGAGGCGGGGCGCCGTTGTCGCCGTTATCGGTCCAGTAACAGCAACATGTTTTCCAGCGTCAGGCTGTGCGCATGTGTATTAGGTAGATTCGTGGCGCGGTTATGTTTTTTTTTCTTCTTTTTCTTACGTGAATACAACAAGTTCACCTCTTCCACAGATGAAGCGCCATTTTCCATCGTTTCTCGGAAGGTCGGGATGTTTTGGTGCGTTCGATATATTTTTTTTGTGTCGTATCTCCGCCGCTTGTTCCTCCTCTGTTTTTTTGTCCCTTGGCCACGCTCTCGAGCTAACCGCGCAAGATGCCCTCGAGCCCCACCCCCTCTTGTGAGCACTACTGTTCTACCTGGGGTGGTTGGTGGCGAGGGTGATAGTCCAACATCTGTGTGGATACCTGCCTTCGAGAGCTGTGTTGTTGGAAAGGGTGCCGAACAACTACCGTAAATGACACAAGATAACACACCCCCTGGACCGATTTTTCAAATATCGATTTCTCAACAGCAGATAGAGCCACGGCGCCGAAAACGGTGGCGTTGAAGCTGTCTCGTCGAGAGCTTTCCGAAAATGGATTATTTCGTTGATGCATGTTCTTCGTCGTGGCGTAATCGAGCTTTGAAAATTGGTCCAGGTGGTGTGTTATCTTGTGTCATATACGGTATATCTCCAAGTTGTCGACGTGCCGTTGTTATTGTTGTGGCTGCCCACGACGAACCTACTTCGACGTGTTGTATCGTATCGAGGACCTCTCTCTTCTTCCATACTGTACTGCTCCAACTCATCTATCTGAAAACAAGACACAGGTCTCGCATCCGTCGCTATTTTTGTTCCTGTAAGCTACCACACAGACAGCAGGTGACCGTAACGACAAAAAAATGTTTCCGTTTTCGTTTGTTTTCGTTTTGGCTGTTCCTTGTGTTTTTTTCTTCCTCCTCCTCCGCCGTTTCCAGGTTCCAGCGGTTAGACGCAGGTTGTTCCGAGTCTTCGCCACCACGGTCGACATCGTCATCGCGCAACAACCGAAATGCGAGCACGTTGGCTGCTACTAGCGATGGCGCTGAAGAGAGATAGCTTCCGCTCACCGGAGGAAGTAGCCAATATTCCACATGTATATGCAACGGGTAACCATGTAGTCTAGGCCATGTAGACGATGATACCCTTCGCAACAACGACGCATACAAGGTGGTAATGCTGTAGTCTGGGCGTCGACCATAGCCAACAATAAACCTTAGGAATAACCTTCTAGCTATCTGTTTTTAATTAAGCCTCGTAGCCTTCCTGGACCGAACCTGACGGTCATGAACCAACCACGTTCTGAATGTTTCGTGGACCATAATATTTTAGGCAAGGAATACCGTATACCTAAGTAACTCAGTACTAATACTCAACACCACGTCGTAAGCGAGCGTTATTTTCTGTTTTTTTTTGTGGGGTTGGTGGGGAATGCTTGCATTGTGGTAATTGACGTGGTGACACAGTTACTCCGAGGGTGATGTGCCGGTACAATTAGCACCTGTTCTGTGTAGAGCACGTGTGTATGACTGCTGTAGAGACGATCTGCGTGTACATAAACAGCGTGGTGGGCACCGAAGAGAGATCGGTCTACTGTACATAAATACATGTTGTATTCTACATGGAAATAAATGTCAATCAACACGCGCATGTATGCTGTCTGTGTGACTCCGGCTGGTGCGTCCGGAATCAGTCGCACCGAAAGGTGGAAGTAAGGACCGACGTCCAGAATGAATTGGATACCAAAAATAGAGAGAAGGGGTCGAAATCGCCGTCTTCCTCGTTCTTGTCTTCTCCGTGCCCCCGTACGCTATATTTAGACACAAAGCAAGTGAGTGTGTGCGCGAGCTAGACACAGGCCGCAGATAGATGCGCTACAGATTAGACATCCGACAAAAAGTCACGACACACACACAAACGTTCTATTTCTCCGTAAGAACAGCGGCCACACTGTTTTCTCTTTTTCTCTTTTTTCTCTTTGTCGCTCTTTTTCTGTGTCACCTCGTTCTCTCTGGCCCGTGATTCTAACTCCTAGTCTCAGTTGTTACCTCGCATAGCGCGCAGCGGGAGCGGACGACTCCAGAACATCTGTCGTTGATTTCTAGTGACTTGCTGACCCCTCGGGGCCAGTTTGTATGAGCGTACCTCTTTACGGCAAGTTAGCCTGTGACCACGGGAATCGACCGCGCCAAGTGTTGGATCAGTAAGGACATATGAAGGTACTGGGTAGAGAGAGATCGGAACGGTTTTCAATGTGAAGACAACAACAACACAACAACTGTAGCTAAGGCGATGCTTTACTCTGTCTTGATTCGCAGTTTTTCAAGGTCAGGTAAGGTTGTTCTTTGTTGGCCAAACTCGATGCCACCGAAACGGCTTCTTCGCAGCCCAAGTGGGGTGCGAAAAAAAAGGAAGCCATCCTTCGAACAGATCGAAGCAGCAGCAACAGCAGTGGTGGTATTGAATGCATGTCGAAGCTCAGCCACCCACTGGACAGGCGGGCGATCAAAGTTCTCGTTTCTAAAAAAACTTGCTGTTATGTAGAAAAAAAAACAGAAACATGCACACAACGAAAACTCAAACCAGCATCACACCCACTGGCATTATATTTATGGATGGGACAAGAATAACACCACACACTCCACCACCCGGGGGCAAAAAACCAAACCCTCCGAAGCAAGAGTTATCATCCCCCGGGGGAACCGCAACGGGAAAAAGTAGTGAAAAACTGTCAAGCACCCCCCCCCCCCCCCTTTCCCACCACCCGACGTATAAACTACAAGACATATGTACACCCACGGCAACCTCTTCCGCTGAGTTGTTCGGGATCCCCTCTGGCCGAAGCCATGAAACGTCCCCACGCCAAAAGGAAACCCATACAAGACATGGGAACGACTACGCCCGTCAAGCTGCCGACAAAGACACCCATCACCCCACGGACGGTGAACGAAGTGGGCGCCCACGGAAAAGATGCCAAGTGCGTCTGTTTCATGCCACACAGCGTAGAGCAAATAGGTATCCGCGGTCTTTTCCCCAACCAAGTTCCGCCGCCACAAAACAAGAAGAAAACACGCCATTCCAACAACGCCTACCGGGCCACGTACACCGCGGAGAGACTCGTCCGATGAACCGAACCAACTCGTTCCCGATTTCTTCTCTTGTGTGCTGCACGAAAAATTGCGAGGAAAGGGGCATTACACTTGGCTTGTCCGCGAACGGAAACGAAATTTCGCACAACGACCGCCATTTCCGGTATGCGCCGCCACCTATATCGGAATTTGTCAACACAATCGGCCCGGGACCTGACAAAAACCCAGACCTCGAAATACACAAACCAAGCAACCCCCCCCCCCCCCACTTCCCCTCGCGGAGCTAACCAGGGCACACGCGCAACACGCGCCCGGCACGGACGAAACCGTCATCCTCAAAGGTAAGAAAACAGGCAGTCCAAGCCTGTATAAGAGAACCTTCATCATAGCAACGGCCCCCCCCCCCCGCCCAGGAGGGCC